CATCAGAAATAATTTGTTATATTGCAAAAGATTTTTATTTCCAGATTTTAACTTTAATGGATTTAAAGATCCTATAATTGTATGTGGGGGAGAAATTAAATGGAGTACCTTCCACAGTATTTATGAAAAAGACCTCTTTCTTGATGCTGGTTTGCGTAAAGCACCAAAAATAACAATGAAAGTGTTACATCCTGGCAATTTTAAACAAAATGTTTCTTTAGCACTTGCAATTTTTGATGAAACTACATCAGCAGCGATTCACTCATATTTTCCAGATCTTAAAAGTAGTGCAGATTTTCTTACATTATTTAACAAGTGGTGGGTTTTATCAAATTCTAAATGTCAGTATTCAGCATGTAATATTTTAGGTAATGCAGTCGTTTCTGGTGATAAAAAACCTGAATTTCTTCGGGAAATGGCACATTAGATTGAAGTTTGGCAATCACAAAAGATACCAAACTGTGAGAAGTTTACTTTAAGTGTTCAGACAGCTGCAGCACTAATAAGAACACTTAATAGTCATGCCTCATTGATCAAGGACTTGCTTAATGATGGATATCACTTTGTTTTAACTGCGAGATTTCAAAGTGACCCATTAGAAAGGAGATTTGGACAATATAGACAAATGAGCGGTGGAAGATTTTTGGTAGGTTTAAAAGATGTCACTATTTCTGAAAAAATATTAAAAATCAAAAGTATAGTTAAAGAAAGTATTAACTTCGATGATAGTTTAAAAGTGCCTAAGTCAGAAAATAATTTAACAGATTGGAAAAACTTTCTTCTTGATATTGATGAAGCTCAGTGTACTCCAGAAATCATGACACTTGCACCAGAAAGTAGGGAAGTAGGTGCTCATATTGCTGGTTATATAGCAAAGAAACTTAAAAAACGTTTTGGTACATGTTGTAAAGAATTTTTATGTTGTGTCAATATTGATGAAAGCAATCCTGATCATACTTATTTAACAATTATTTCTAGGGGTGGTCTCACTATTCCTTCACCATCACTTTTGGATTATGTTTTATAAAAGTAGTCAATCATAGCAAAGGATGTGCATCCTTTGCTATGATTGACTACTTTTATAAAAAAAAAAAAAATTAGTTTACATACACGACAAGCTTTAGTATATTTGTTAAACCACTTTTATGACTCTTTTCAGACTTTTTCTTGTCCTATGCATGAGAAAACTGGGATAAAACTTGCTGGAAGAATTGTTGTTAACATTTTTCTTAATAATAAAAGAATTATCTCTACCAGTGAAGTAGTTGTTGATCATGTAAAATCTTTTAAAAAGAGAAAATTTGAGAAAATTTAATAAATTATATATAATTATTTTATTTTTAAATGAAAAAAGAGAAACATTTAAATATTTTTTATAACTGTTCTTGTTTCTTACATTGTTTTTACTAATACTAAATTTTAAAATAAACACTATTTATTTCTTAATAAATGTTCGTTTAATATCTAAAATTATGAATAAATACAACTTTTGTGGACTTTTTAAATGTAGAAAGTAAAATAATATTGAAAATGTTCAAAACGTATTAAATTTTTGAAACATAACGATTTTAAAAACTGGTCTTTTATTTTTTTCTTCAAAATGTAAAATATCCGGCCGTCTAAATAAAGTAGGCAATGGTATGTATAAATGAAAAATAAAGATATTTTAGATTGGGATAACATTGGTCTAGCTTTGTATAGCACGCCAATGTTTTTTGGTTATTTTAGTATTTAAATAGTCAATATGGGCTTTCCATGAAATATTTTGATCAATAAGTAAACCTTGAAATTTAGTTGTTGTGGTTCTTTCGGTATTTTTGTTTTTTATTCTTAGCAATGGCAATATATTTGGTAGTTTTTTTCTTTTTTGATTTGGATTGAATAAGATGTAATTATTTTTTTCTGTGTTTAAAGATAGTTTATTAGATTTTAGCCAAATATTAAGTTTTTCGAGTTCAAAAAGTTCTGTAATTGACGGGGATGAATAAAATAAATTAGTGTCATCTGCAAACATTATGACATCAAGTTTGTTTGAGGCTTTCGGAAGATCATTAATGTATATTAAAAACAGTAATGGAGCAGGATTTCATGATCAACAGTATCGAATGCTTTTGATAGATCTATAAAGATTCCTAGAACGAATTCGTTATTATCAAATGAATAGTTGATGCTATTTACAAGATCTATGATTGCATGTTTGGTTGCATATTGTTTTTGAAATCCGAACTGTTTTTTATTTAAGATGTTATTGTTTGTTAAATATATGTACAGTTTATTATAAATTATTTGTTCAAGAAGTTTTGAGAATACAGGAAGGATTGAGATTGGTCTATAGTTGTTTAGTAAATATGGTTCTCCAGTTTTATATATAGATACAACTTTTGCAATTTTTAATTTCTCTGGAACGGTTCCTGTTATAATTGAAGATTTAAATATTTCGAAGAGGAGTTTTTTTATTATCGGAAAGATATTCATTACTACATTGCTAGAAATTTCATCAGTTCCTAGTTGTTAATTTTTAGAGAGTTTTTTGCATTTTCGAGTTCTTCATAGCTTAATCCATTAAAAATTAGTTCACTATTTAGATCTGTAAGATCTAAATAGCGAACTTATTTTCAATGGATTAAGCTATGAAAGCGAACTAATTTTCAATAAAAGTAATTTTCAAAGGAGTCATTTGTAGTTAAAATTTTAGACGCCATGTTTGGGCCTATGTTTGCAAAGAAAATGTTGAAGTGTTCGGCAATTGAGTTCTTATCATAGTGTTCGGTTTCATTTATAATAATTCTATTTGGTAAACTATTTGTTTTTTTGTTTTTTTTTCCCGATTATTTCTTTCATAATGTTCCATGCTTTTTTCATGTCTCCATTTTTTTTTTTTTTGAAGTAATTTAGACTAGTAAATTTTTTTAGAACGTTTTTTGATTTTTTCGAAAAGAATGTTGTATTGTTTATAAGTAGATAAGTTATTCTCATTTCTGTTTTTCAGATATTTAACGTATAGCTTTTGTATTTTTTTTGAAGATTTTTTAATACCGCTGGTGATCCATGGACAGCTCAAATATTTTGATTTGACTTCTTTTTCTTTGATTGGAAAATGGTTATTATAGTGCTTTAGAAAAATATCTGTAAAAGTATTATATGCAGAGTTTGTGTTTCCAAGGTAACATTCTTGATACACTTTAACCCCGAAAGTTATCAAAAATGTTATCAAAAAATAATTTAGTAATCGGAAACTGATTGTATTTTAAACAATCTATGTTTAGGTCCCAAATACAGAATAACTTTTTTTGTTCTTTATTGATTTTGAGAAAAATTTCTTCTAGATAATTAGAAAAAGTTTTAATATTACCTTCAGGTGGTCTATAACAGGTAGAAACAATATTTTTAAACTTGGAGTTAATGATTTCTATTGTAAAGACCTCACTATCGGTATTTGAAATGGAGTGGTCTTTTCTTACTTTTATTGCTTGATCATTCCGAACATAAGTTGCAATCCCTTCTCCTTTTTTGCATGTTTTTCTTTTAGAAGGTAGTAATTTATAATTGGGAATTTGAAAGTTAGTGTTATTTGGATTGATTCGTCAGAACACCAATTTCTGTTAGACAAATCAAACTGAATAAATAATTACAATCAATTAGGAAATGCTTAAGTTTGTCAAAATTTTTATTTATGCTTCTTATATTTATGTGAATTACTGTAAAATTATTTTTAATAGTTTTAAGTCCACTTTTAAAAGTTTCAGCTATAAAATATCGATTATCAAAGTTATTTGAAAAATATGCGCCTATCAGCGTTAGGATGGTTCAAATTTGGGTCAAATATTTTTTACGACTAGAGTGGAAGTTTATATGGTGCACAGACCCTTGTTTTATATATAGGATTTTTTTTTTTTTTTTTAAGTTTAAGGGTGGCACACGGCTTAAAAGTACTTTTTTTTTTATCGACAGACTTCAAATTTAATTTAATAATATTGTAGCGTTCAAAAGTTAGGACCATGTAAAGTTGCCACCCTCCCCAAAAAGAGGGGGTTAAAAGCTCAACGTATAGTTCTATGGTATTTTTATGACAAAATCTAGTTTAATGTATTACATAATTTTTGATGTTAAACTTAGAGATAAGTCTAGATGAAGTTGGATTACCACTTCCCTAATAATATAACTTTATTACGAGTTGCAGGTAGAAAAAAGGGAATAAATAAAAACAAAACTAGCGTAATTTTAAATTTTGATTAAATAACCAACAATCAGCATTTTAAAATACTACTAACAACATTTGATGTTAAATCATTTTTCTTTGTCCCTTTTTTATTTCTTTTGTAAACATGGTTTAACAAGAACAAATCTTGTCTTTTCTTCTGTTTCGTTGATTTTCCAATCAGCTCTTTTACTAGATTTATAGTCCTCTCTGACGAATCGTTAACCACATCTAGAGATTTAATAATAAATTCAAATCAAGATAAAAATCATTAAACTTCCGAAACTGCGAGGGGATCTTTAGCCACTGCAACTCACCCTTTCCATGTCGCATCTTATCAAAGTTGAGCCAAGATTGCCCAGTTATTAGAGAACAAAGAGATGGAGGCTGATCTTGTGAAAATTTTAGAGAGTGAAGAGTTTGATAAGAAGTTTATTGTATAATGATGTGGCAATATCTTCTCTGTTTGGCCAACTTTTATCTGCTAATGCAAGCACAACTAAGGCAGGATCAAGGTACCAGCTGTGTCTGTCAAATGATTTTATTGCTAAAGTGGCTCCAAGAAGATTTATATCCATGAACCTCTTCATCTGCCACAGAGCTTTCATATCCTAAAAATATATTTAACAATATTAGATTAAACATCAATTGGAAAATAAACTCATCATTTTTTACGCTTTTTTTTTATTTATAATGTTTATTTTTAACCTGTTATGGCGCAGCAGTTACCGATACTTTTCTAAGAAACCATTGAGTGTAAAAGATACCGACAAACATAGCCATTTCACGAACCTCCTTTTTCTTTTCTTCTGATAAACTTGGAATAGCTTCCAATGCTAAATACATTTTGAGATAATACAATACTTTTGACATGAATCATGCATGATGTATTGGACCAGGAATACGAAATTTGAACCTATCTTTTTGAGAAACTACCATCAAAGAAAGTTCCGCTAATTTTTGATAATCCTCTCTTGATTTACCATCCTAAAAATAAAGGATTTATTATATTTATGATTATGATTTATTTTATTATGATTGTGTATACAGATTGTTTAAATTATTTTAAGCAAGCTACTACAAAACTGTAATTAACCTTTTTGTAGATCCTGTTATCTATTACATCTCTGTAGAATTTTTCAGCCTCAAGATGTTGTTTATTTATCCAAGTTCAATTTGGAGTTTCAATTTTCTTCAATGCAACAATGTCTTTTTCAAGATCATTCCAGACAGATTTCAGGTGTTTAAAAAGCTGGTTTTCTGGACCAGACATTTTTCTACTGGGATATATCTTGTTAAAGTGGGTAATATGTCTTTCCAATATATGATGTCTACAGGCAAGGAAAAGTTGTGGCCTTCCCAGCTTATCGGCCATTCTTGTTATAACTCCTTGGTGCTTTCCGGTGTTGGAAGCTGTAGTATCAAAGTATATTCACTGTATATGATGACTAAGACCAAGAGAATCTAATAGATTATAAACTGCTTTAAACTGATTTTCCCCAGAACCTGACTCAATATGAGGAATACCTAGGAGCTCAGTTTTCCCATTCACTTTCACTAGTACTGCTAATCTTTCTCTTGTAACTGAAACTTTATCTGTATATTTTTTAAATATTTTCCCGTCAAAGTGAACAGAAATCAGTTTATATTTGGAGTCAGTCAGCTGATTAGCAGTGTGCTGATTGATAGAAAGACCTTCTCCTACAGCAGTTAGTGCTGTACGCTTTAAAATATCTTTAGGCAGTAGTAAACTTTGCTCTTTTTCATGAGAATCGTCATTTGACTCACTTGTAACAGACTCGAGGCATTCTGGGCTTAAAGAAAAATCACTAACATCACCTTCTGAGCTATAAGTTGCATCTAAAATTTTCTCTGATGATTCACTTTTAATTTTTTTTTTTTCAGATCTTTTTGCAGACTTTTTGAAGCAAGTATCAGAAATGCCTAGACAACCTTGTCTTTTTTCCTTCTGCATTTTCAAGAACATAATGTCCATACATTTACTTTCTTCAGTTCTTTTTCTATGCTTTTTTATTTCATCAATCATGATTTATATGTCATGTCCTAACCAGAATACCCTTTTAGATTCTATTAATAAGTTTTCTCTATCTTTTATTGCTCCTGGTGTTGATCTGTTTCTTAGCGATTGCAGCTTTTTTGTATTTCATTACTACAACTTCGACTTCTTTCCTAAAAATAAGACATTAAATAACTGTAAAGCTAATTTAGATTAAGATTTCATAAATATTACTTACCGTAAAAAGCATTGTATGTCACGAGTTCTGTATCCACCAAGTTTCCATGAAACCTTCAGCTTAGATATAACGCAGCAGTTTTCTCCTGAATCTGGACAATTCGGTGTAAATGTAGATCCTTTGTTTGGACAACAAACTAAGTTTTTGAGACAAGTTGATGGTTTGGACTCACGTAAGTAAAGATAATACTGTATAACTTCTTCTACAGTTGCAAATTGAATAGATGATATTGTCTTTCTAGTTTTTTTAACTAAGAATATTTCTTGGCCTCTATTTTTTTTATTTTTACGAATTTTCGGCATAATTTTTTATTTTACTTTTTATTTTATGTAAATAAATTATAATAAAATTGGTTTTTATTTTAAAATAAACACTTTACCAACGTTAACAAATTTTGTTTAATGTCTTTAAAATAGCAGATGTTGAGCATTGAGCATGATTATTACATTTGAACAATGAGATCATACAGCTGTCATTGAAATAGTTGCGCGTCTTTACACGCAACTATTTCAATGTGAAATAATAAAAAAATTCATTAGATTTAAAAAAAAATATTGTTCTTAGATATTTTTAAAGGACATTTTTTAAGTTTTCAAAAATAAATTGAGTTAGAGTGCCTTTTTATTTTTTTGTATAGGTCCTTGCAAAAATATTTAAAAAAATATAATTTGAATTTAGTAATGTTTAAGGGTGGCACACGCGGGTCGAAAAACGTCAAAAAAAGGTAAAAAAAAAAAAAAAAAAAAGGACTTTTGGACCGTGTGCTACCCTTAAACTTCAAAATTAAAAAAAAAAAAATCTTACATATAAAACAAGGGTCTATGCACCTTATAAACTTCCACTCTAGTTGTAAAAAATTTTTGACCTAAATATGAACCACCCTTGTATATATTATTATGTTTTAATTTGAAATGTATGAAAGTTAGATGTTTGCATACATTTTCGTTCGCATTTTCATATAAAAAAAAGTGCTGCAGTTGCTGCAAAAAGTGTTACAATGGCTGCCAAGGGTTCCGTGTCTAACATGCTCGAAGAGGCACTACTATTATTAAGTTTGGCAATAATATATAGAGATAAGAAGAAATTGAAAAACACTCGATAAATTTAAAATAAGATACTGAAAAAAAGCATGTAGGAGTAGGGGGGGGGGGCATGTAGGGGTAATTTTGTTCACAATTTATGAAATATTTTACATTTTTTCAAAATATTCAGATTTGACCTAAGCATGAACATAATTAAATTTGGTTCAAAAAAGATTTTATAAACGTTTTTTGTTCAAAAATACTTTTATGCAAATCAAATACTGCAGGGCATTTTACAGAGATGTGAAATTTTGCTTGAGTTTCGCACACCTGAAGTTTTGTGGTATGTTTTACTTTAAAGTATTATTAAAGAACTGTCGCAACTATATGTTAAAAAATAAGGAATAAGAAATAGTTTATACAATTAAAAGTCAATTTATAAAAGAATGTTTTCTCAAATTGATTGTTCTACAAAATAGATTTACCAAGCATGAAATTAGAAGTTATACATTTTTATACTGTTTAAAAAAATGTTAAAGAGATTAATTGCAACATTTTGTAAAAAATATTTATTTTAAATCTATAATTTATAATATATATATATGTATATATATATATATATATATATATATATATATATATATATATATATATATATATATATATATATATATATATATATATATATATATATATATATATATATATATATATATATATATAGGGGAAAATGGGGTAAGATGACGAATGGGGCGACATAGCTTTACATATAGCAACTCAACAAAAAAACTTAAAAATGGGTGAAAACAAAACTGTATTTACATCTTGCATTTTTAAACACCAATTGGTTTTTTTAAATATTATTAACGCATTTTATTGGCATAAGTTTTATTTTTGCGCTTTAAACAAAATACCTTGCTTTCGGTTATTCATTATGAATGGTGTCCTTCCGGTTTAATTTTTTTAGAAATATTTTTTTGTGATGCGTGTTTATTTTGTGTTTCTTTATTTACATTAGTTGGCAGATTTTAAATTTTTATAAAATTGGAGTCATAACAAGTCATCTTGCCCCGGTCACGTGACCAGATCGCATTATTATGAACTTTTTATTTTTATTTTTATTTCAAATTTTTCTACTTGCAAACTGAAAATTCATGCAGGCAATTAACCGTTGTGATAACATGAATATACTGACAAAGTATTACTGCTTCATAACTGAAACTGTTACTCTAAAGTTTTTGAAAATTTATGAAATTGCCTTGATTAATAAATAGTTTATCAAGAAATTAGCTTAACTTGATTCAAATAAATGGAGATTTTTGAATCAAATCTCGAATCCCTTTTCTGATTTGATTCAAAATATCGAAGCATCACATGGCTCATAATAATATATGCATTAGAAGTTGACAATTTAAAAAGCTTCTTGAATATATCAACAACCATGGTTCCAAACTTGTGATTAAATCTAATTATTATTTATAACTATTAATTACTAATTGGAAAATTGTTATTTTGTTTATAATTACAATTAAATGTCGTTTTTTCATTCAGGGATTCTTTTTTGTTAAATAAAGCATTATTATGACCTTTTATAATTCTTTCCATATTTTTTGTGAAACTGTAGTTAACTTTAATTGCATTTCGAATAAAAAATTTATTTAATTTATTAGAGGGCGGGAGATGCTTATCGACAAATTTTAAAAACACTTTTCTTAAACACGTTAGAGGAAATATTTTTGCTATATAGGGGTAGGTGTTGAACCAAATTACATTTCTAGTTCTATTTCGCTTTTTTCTATTCTTTTTTTCAGGGTCTAATTTTAGTTCAAAGTTTTGAAAACCATTTTTTTTGTGGGCATCTTTCAAAATTCGTTTAGAGGAATTGAACACATTTTTATTAGAGAATTTTTGGTTTAGCCTGTTATTAATTGAAATTGGGATTTGTTTTAGAATTTGGAGTGGATGATTTGAATATTAATGTACAATAGTTCTTCGTTTGGTTTTTTGAAAGACTTATATGCATTTTCAGAGAGGTTGAACATGAGATTAAGAAAATTCATAATTTTTGAATTTATGTTTCTTTCAATTTTAAGAAGAAAATTTTTATAATATTTTTTCAAATTATATTGAGCTTTGGACCAGATTTTTTATGGATAACTATTAAACCATCGTCACAATAAAGGCCTAAAATCAATATTAATGATTGATTATTTTGCTTAATAAATCTAAAATATATAATCTAACAATTTCAAAAATTTCTGTTCCATCATAACTGCCTATTGTTACATCAAAGCAGTGATGTATGTTTTTCTTTTTAAGTTTCTTTATTAAAATAAAATAAGGTTTTTCTGCAATGATTGCATTTCATTAGAATCTAGATTTGTTTCTTTTATAATTTTTTTTGAAGTAAGGTTCTTAATCAAGTAAAAATGAAATGTTGCAGAATTCGACGGAAGTTCTGCTGCTAATTTGTGACCCACATTTAGAAAAAAACTATTTAGATATTCAGCTATTTTAATCTTATCACTGACTATCTTACCATCAATCAAAGGTTTTTTTGGCAAATTGCTTTTTGTACAGTTATTATTACCGACTCTTTAATGGTATTCCATGTTTTCTTAGCATTTCCAAGGTTGTTTTTTTTTAACAAACTTCAATAACAAAGCTTTTTTGAGTATTGTTTTGTTTATTCAAACAAGTTTTTATATTTTTTGTTTTTATAAGTTTTATTTTATAGGAATTTGTCGTAGAGTTTTTGTTTTTTTCTTGAGGACTTAATTAAACCTTTAGACATCTAGACAGTTAAAAGTGACTTTTTGTTTATAACAACAACTTTACCTGGAAACACTTTTTCATAATATTTACAAAGTTTACCTAGAAACAGTTAGTAGGCATTGTTCGCATCGCTTGACTGCAATATAAGATTTCACTCAATATTGTTTTTTAGTAAATTTTTAATTTTTTGTAACGAGTTTTCATTGATCTCTCGTTTGTATATTGGCGATTTAAGAGTGGTATTGTTTGGTGCTATTTTTATTATTAGTAGCAAGGTAGGAAAGTGATCTGAAAGGTCTTTCTTAACTTTACCCGTGCAAACATGAAAATTTTTAGTTATCGACTAATGTTGAAGAACTTTTAGTTATTCTGGTTGCTTTAACACTGGACATCAAAAAATGTTTTTTTCGTTTTTGTATCTAAGAGCAGTTTTAATCAAATTATACTAAATTTGGGCCAAGGGTGTAGAGTCGTATAAAAAAATTACCAACTCCGTCACCGCCTCCAATCGTTGAAATTTTCAGAGGACGAATCCAACTCCAAAGCTAAAATTAAAGCTAAAGCTGAAATTTTTTTTTTTAATTCTTTAAAAAGTATTACGCGATAATAATGAAATTACAAATGTATGAAAAACTGTTTGAAGGTTAAATATTTTGTAGATGCTCGTGAAAACCGAGAAATTTTACTATTGGAGTCGGAGTCGTGATTTTGTTTAGCGACTCCAACTCTGACACCGCTACAAATGTCGCGACTCCGACTCCATGTCTCCAACTCGATGACGACGACGTCGAGGACACAACGACGCCTTGTTTTGGGCTGAAAAAAAAGAAAATGACAACGAAAATTTTTTATTAGCTTTAGTTTCTGAGATATACAAAAGCAATAAATTTTTATTTCAGTTAATTTGTAATAAAACAATGTGACATATAATTTACATATCCTAGTAATATTTAAAGTACATTTGATTTCTTTATTACAGATATACTCTAACAGTTTTAAACAAAAAATTATGATCATCAAGCTAATAGGTATAAAGATGATTATGGGGTATGTCACGAGATTGTGATCTTTTTTCTTTCCTTTTGTAGACTAGTTCTGGAGCATCCCTACTACACAAACCAGCAGTAATCTGCAACAATAGCCTCATTCCAACGACCCCGATATCTTTGTTCCATTACAGAAATAACTCGGTGAAACCTTACCCCATGTTCATCACTAACAGCTCAACAACTGGGTGAAGGGGGAAAAAGTGTAGGTGTGAGTGGAGGAAATGAATTATGAGGAACATCATACATTCAAATTGATGGTATTTTTGAGGAAGTACTGTTACTAATTAAATGTAGTTATCATCAATTTTGTTGCCTAAAAATCTAGAAATCACTCCTTTAAAAGCTTCCCAAGTTTACTTTTCTTGTCTCTTTAAAACTTCATCAAATGCAGAATCCTTCATAAGTTGACGTTTTTCGCCCAACAAAAATATCCTCACGAACTTTTGCATCAA